CATCCTGATACAAGAACTTAATTGTTCTTTTGTCTGAAATTAATTTTAGTATGGAAATCACCTGTGAATGGTGGACTCATCAGATGCTGCTGGGACGTTGCACATATCTCAGGAAGGATTATGATTGTTATGAAATGGTGTCCTGTTCAACTGGGGCCTGTTTGCCATGAAGAGAAATTTTCTGTGCCTCTGAGTGTCACCAGTTCCACACCCCCTAAAAGACACAAACGTGATGAGTTGTGGTTTCCACTCCAGTGGTAGCACTTGGACCTCCCTCCATAGCCAGAGCAAAGCTCCCTTATCCTACAAAGTCCATGGCAAAGGAGTGATGAAGGAAACAGGACAGGCTGTGGGGATCAGGGGCAGGGTAGGGCCAGGGATTTGAGGTGGTTGTGAGCCCAGGGTAGGACCTGACCCTTGGCTGTGGTGAACCTCATCCAATTGTCCTGGGCCCATGGCTCCAGCCTGTCCAGATTCCTCTGCTGAGCTTCTTGCCCCCCAGCACAGCCACACTCCCACCCAGCTTGGGCTCACCTGGGAACTGACTGAGGGTACTCTCGATGGCCTCATCCAGATCAGCAATAAAGAGATTTCACTGACCTAGCCCCAGTTCTGAGCCCTGGGGACACCCCTGGATGTGACTCCATTCCTCAGCTGCTCTGAGTGCCAGGGGTTGGATGAGGGAAATGGTGGGGAGGAGATAGAGACAAAGTGTGATTGATTGTCAGCCATGAAGGGTCTGGATTTTCATATCTGTTCAGACTGCATGAAGAGGTGCTGGGGATAAATATCAATTGGACATTGCTGATATCAATCTATGAACAAAATAAGAAAACAGGAAAAAATTCTCTCTGCATTGTTTTAAATACAGTATATTCACTAAATAGACTTCTGTGATCTCTCTAATTAACCAAAGAACACTTGAAAACTAAGATTATTCCCAAGGGCTTTTCTTGTTCAGGTGTGTTTGGAAGAAATATTTATTAGCCTTTTACATTCAATTTCTGAACGGAAGACCTCAAGAAAAAAGAGGCCTCTGGAGAAATAAAATTCATCATCAACCTCCAAGTGGCTGAGAATCCATCGCCATCAGAGCAGCAATGAATTGAAATGGGCACAGCTTTGTGGCTGCCCCAGCTTTGGCATGGGCCCTGGGCCTGCGGCAGGAGCAGCTCTTGAGGGCAACAAGGCCGGCTCTTGTGCAGCCCTGGGCAGATGGGATGGCAGCAGGGGCTGCAGAGCTCTCAGCACCTCAGCCCGAGGGGAGCAGGGCAGCCAGGGAGCCTCCTTTGGCCTTGGTCAAGCACCTTCCCCCAAGGCTGGGGCTGAGTCCTGTGGCAGCTGCAGCTGCTGCTGTGCCCTTGCCAGGGGCTGAGGCCGTGGGGCAGTGCCCAGAGCAGCCTGGCCTGAGCAGAGCTGTGGAGCCAGAGCCGGCTG